GAATATAATAATGAATGGTGAGGAAAACATGGATGGTGTGATTGACCAGTTTATGAGTAAAGATTCCTTTTAAGCGATATATAGTTAACAAATCATTGAAAATAATACATGGCTCATCCTACACATCCAATAAACTTAACTTAGTAACGCAGAATTATAGTACTTTGTTTTTTGAGAAAAGGTGCAAATAGACCCATGTACTAACAAAAAAAGGTCAAATAAACCTTTATTTAGGAGGTTCTGTTCGGCCTTCGTCATTTGGGGTGGTTCCCGGTGGAATGTTTTGATGAAATTTTTTGAGCATCTTATTCATCAAGTCTAGTTTACTCATATCAAATTTCAGCTAAAACTTCAATCGGGAAGGCATTCAAATGAATTCTTGAAGATAACTGTGTTTCTAAGTGTGCAGTTATTTTCAAGAATTCATTTGAATGCCTTCCCGATTGAAGTTTTAGCTGAAATTTTGTATGAGTAAACTAGACTTAATAAATAAGATGCTAAAAAAAATTCATCAAAAAATTCCACCGGGAACCACCCCAAATGGCGACGGCCGGACAGAGCCTTCTAAATAAGGGCTTATCATTTGACCTTTTTTGGTTAGTACATGGGCCTATTTGCACTTTTTTCCTTGTTTTTTTTATATTGTACATTCTCGGATATTATAGTATATGTTCGTTGAGTGCTAACATCTAGTGGCGGAACCAGAGAATAATTTGAGCGAGTACTCTTATACTAGTATATTTTTTACAATTATTTTTATTATGATAAAAGAAAAACGAGTGAAAAAAAGCTAAATATATATATAGTGTGGGTCTAATAAAAAGAGATATTTGAAAAATGAAAATCCGTGCACTTTTTACTCGTTCAGGTGCCCTAGTAGATATTTGTTTTACACTTTTTCACAATGGGAGAAAATTTTGATTTATATACCAAATTTTCACTGCGTTTTTTTAATAAAGTGTAATGCAATTTTGCCTGATTCCGAGTCATTAGATATCAAGTTTAATGCACAAAATTTATTCTCAATTTTCATGAGAATAACAAACTTTTTTATCCAAACTTATATATATGTATATACATTGTGTTTCAAATAAAAATGCTATTATACTAAAGAAAAAGTAAATATTTATGCTAAGTTCAAGTTTGCTGAAAATTATTCTGGACATTAAATGGCAGTCTTTGTATATGTCATTATTAAAGGAAGGAAGAAATAATTAAACGCTCGTTTTTTGTTTTTGTATTTCAAAATAATTAAAAGCTATGTTATAAATGTAATTTTGAGGCTATTGAACTAAAATAGAGAAGAAAACCACATATTAATTCTTGAAGAAAGAAAAAGTGAAAAAAATATTTGTATAGAAAAAATATGAATGTAAAATAAAAGATATGAAAAGAGTGATTTAAATAACATTATATCACAAGTGATTCAATTAAACAAAACTAATTATGTATGTCTAAAGTGTAAACAAACAATAAGAATTACAACTAAAATACGGAGTAATAGTGGAAGGCAAATCAGCAATCAGCAAATGAAAGAAATGTGAGCGTTTAGAGTCAGGGCACAGGGAGAGAGAGAGAGGAAGCAAAAAATATACAGGCGCGGAGGCTTGCACCCGCGACGTGTCGGAACGCAAGGCATAATTCACGGCCAGACTTCCATGTGAACCAACAGATCTACTATTTAAATTTTCAGTGGGGCTTAGATATATACCGAGTGCTGTTCCTGTACATATGGATGTACAGTAAGCTCCGTACGGACAAAGCCATCTGAGGCCCTTCCCGGTCGAATTTTTTGATGAAATTTTTTGAGCATATTCTTCATCAAGTCTAGGTTATCCATACCAAATTTCAGCTCAAAACTCGATCGGGAAGGCAGTCAAATAAATTCTTGAAATATACTGCACATTATATGTGCGCAGAATGCGGCGGCAGAGAACGGGGGACGGCGGCACCGGCTCGCTCCCCCTAGTTCCGACAGTGCTAACATCCTTAACTGGGATGAATATCGAACATGTGATCGGACTTTCTTCTTAAGAGTGTTATAGTGGTGTCATCGATTTATAAAGTGTTACTATACAATGTAAAATTATAGTTAAAACATAAACTAATAAAAATTCAACAAACCAAACACATACATTGGTACTAATAAATTGACGTGAAAACTATTTGAAATGTGTGTGCATTAGTGTATATATTTCCGGACTTCCTCATGAATCTTTAGGAAATGGTTATTTGCGGATGAATCATGTCAATTAAATTAGCATTCCATTATTCGAGCACCCCTTATCATTTTTATCTCCTCATTTGATTTGTCACAGAAATTAAATAAAATTGTATACTTGAAATTTTTCTAGAGATTAAAAGAGAGATACAACATGAGACTCATTACACAAACTTAATGGGAAAGGGAATTATATATGTTCTTTTGAAAGAAAAAGGGAATTATATATGCTAGAAAGGGAAAAAAGAAAATGATGGAGTATATTCTCATACACCCCGGGAGTATCATAATTAGCGGACAATGACTTCAGTTGCATCATTATTTGGTAAGAAGTTCCAGCCGAGGCCGACACAAGTCCGCCAAATCGACAGAGTATATTCTCATTCACGTGGTCCGGTCACGACACAAGTCCGCCAAATCGACAGAGTATGGAACCACGGGCGAGGTCGACCTCGACCCCCGAGGTCGGCACAACATCGGGCTCCCATATCACCGAGATAAGACCAAATCTGAGGCCGGCCTCGAACACGCCGAGCTCGGTACCAGATTTGACCTCGAGTACAAACACAATTCAGCAGGAGCCAACGGATACAAAGGACTGACCCCCACCGGACAAACTGAAGACTAGGACCAGATATTGGAATGAACTCATCACTATACTCGAGCTCTAACCTCATAGAGCTCGGGGCCTCGTTAACTGGATATGGACTTAGACATTTCAGCAATCAAGTATCGCGCAAAACTACAACCATGTCATCAACATTGTGTGAGGGCTATGTCACTCAGTCAGTTAGGATGAAGAATATTCTAGATAACACACGTGTAGCAAACATGTGTGTTCTGGTACAATTCTGTTACCCGCACAGTGCCAATCAGCTAACTGTCTCAAGTATGTCTACAATCACTTTTCACATGTGTCATCGTATCATTAGACTAGTCCATTTATTGTATTAGACATGTGTGACACGTGTCTTCACTATAATAGATTTTACTTGATGGCTAATTATTTTTCTCTCAGTATAAAAATATCACCTTTCAGGTTGTGGAAAGTGTTGGGTGTGTTTCGAAAAACAAAGAAAATTATTTAATAAAAATTAATTAAATAAAATGACAAAACGAAAACAAGAAGTGAGATAAAGCAGAACAAGTCAAAGCTCGTGCAACGCACGATTTCCTTAAAACGTATTCGTTGCCTCCCGGGGTACTAGGAACGTTGCAACGATCGTTTCCCAGGATACGATGGCTTCGAACGATAGTTTAGCACACAAACTAAAGTTCCAACGAACGTGAACAAAGCAAGAGCACAGAAGGAATTTTTGGGAGAAGGCTGGAGTGTTTTTAGAGCTAGAAACAAGTGCAGTACGTATGAGTGTTGTGTCCTTTTGCAAACCAGCACCTAGCCAGCCTTATATAGGGGAGGATATTAGGTGTGTTTATGGCTGGTTTAAGGCATATGGACGTTGGCATATAAAAGATAGATTTTCGGACGGCATTTGTGTGTGTAGGTCGCCCGCACACGCAAGTCGCACTTTTTGTTCTTCGGTTTCGGGATTTGATCCGCACCCCCCCTGCGCGCGTGAGAGAGCCTTTCCCTTTAGGAATCTTAACTCCTTAGGGGGGGTTTTCTCTTATAAAGGGTTGCAAATCCCTTGTGATTTTCGGTGTGGGAAAAACCATACCAAAAACTCACCTTTTCCTAGTTTTCTCCATTCCAACGGGTAAACATCGAAAAGCGATTTCTCATTCACCCGTTATCCGTTTTGAGCGTACCATATATCGAATTGTAGCCCTAAGCAAGGACAATCCGAAACCACTTTGACCCGACCCAAATCGGAAGTGGACCCTGCTTAAAAAATTGCCCCAAAATGACCATTTAATGCAATTTTAACACACTTTTTTCCAACAGAAAGAGATCCAAAATTCACTATGCAAACTTGTTGTTACGCTGCTCAAATTTGTACTTGATAAGTAGATCTTACTTAGCACTTTTTAGTCTCATATTTTTTGGATTCCGGCCAACCCTGGTCGACGATTCATCAAAATAAATGAAGTTTATTTTGAAAATGAAACACCAAACTAATTTGGAAAAAGATCAAATTTTGAGGAAATGGCGAAGTCATAAAAAATACGTAGTAATAATTTATAAGAATAGCAAGAGTTAATTTAGAACTCCGTATCCATCACGAATAAAAAAAATATATTATCCATTATGAATTCTAAATGTGTAATCTTTGTTGCCAGTACCGTTAAGAATGAGGAGTAAAACACTAAAACGATTCGTGAATAATTATTACCTACCTACTTCCATCGGAAGCACTTTCAACTGCTGTAATTTACTACCGCGAGCAAGAATGACACATTATAAAGTTAATGGAGCTAACACTAATTTGTTTTAAATAAATATATTTAGAGTGTGGAACTTTTTGACCGTTCCTTTTTTCTTAATCAGTGTCCGTCGTTTACCTAGTCACATCACATGACATGAATCGAAATATGAATATCGCTAGTATCATCTTTTTTCTTCTTCTTCTTCTTTTTTCCTTTTCTTTTATATCTTTATCCTTATATATAAATATTACTTTATCCTTTTTATTTGATCTTTTATATGTATATTCATCTCTTTTATATTATCTTTTTTTTTAATAATAGCTTATCTTTTTTATCTTTATTTTCTTTCTTTTCCTTTTGGTGATAATGTGATATCATATATCGATTCATGTTAGCCGACCCCAATATCATTTGGGACTAAGACTTGGATGTTGTTGTTGTTGTTGTTGTTGTAGTGTCCGTCGTTTATTAACCCATTACTTTAATACAAATTAAAATAAGTTAATGTCATTTTAAAATAACAAAATCACCAAACATGTCCTGCGATCCGATTCAATATAGAGATCGTCACAACGTAACCACAATAGTACTAATCACCATTGAGGCTTTAAAATATTGTTAACCATAAGGACCGGATCTTATATACGTAGTCATTTTTTATCAAGGGAGAAAGCTCAAAATTGACATTAAAATTTTCTCAAAAACTCATATTGGGCACTTAACTTTTAAATGAATCAAATTAACACAAATTATACATTTTTGCATCATATTTGGACACTCCTTACGTTAACGGCCTTACCCCGTCAATTATCAGGTTATTCCTCTTGACCCTAAACCTAAATAAACGCCAGCTCCCATCATTCATTGTCCGGCAGAATGATGGCAGCCGGCTTTTTTGATGGATGGCAGCTAGCTTTTTTTATGGCAGCCGGCTTTTTTGAAAACTTAAAACCAGCACATATACCTCCTCCCTCTTCGTCCAAAACATTGTTTTGACTCCGGCGTACCTGCAAGACTCATCACTTAGCTCGGACGGCAATGGGAAATAACAATGCAAACAGTGGCAGGGGAGGAATTGGACTGTCCACATTCTTTCTCGTTTGTGCATTAATTCCATTTGGTCAGCCTAGATTGGGGAGTTCATCCTCTGTTGGCCGGGTAATTTTTCTCAGCCCAAACTGTTTTAAAGCAACAATATGTGAACGTACTGATGGTCAATCTATGGTTTTCCTTAATTTTGGAGGAAAATAATGATATGGTTGGATAATATATATGGCTTAATAGAAGAATGGAATAGAATGAGATTGGAGGGCTTTACCTACACAATATGACAGTCGTATAATATCATCGAATCTGGGGATTTGATAAGAACAAAAAAAAGCGTGCACATTCCAGAGTGGAGTGAACTGAAGCCTGGGAATTATTTTGGATAGCACTAAGGGCATTCACATCCATAGATTATTTTTGGGATCATTTTGATGATGTGGATGATTTTTTTTGGAAACATGGATGATGAGTTGAGATTATTTTATGAAAGTATTTGATAAAATAATCTGGTATGAAATTCTAAAACTGGATTATTTTGAGATCATTTCCAACTTCTAGGCATATACTCATAATTACTCATTTTTGGGATCATGGGGCACTAGTACCGATATTTAAGTACCGTTGCTATTAATTTAAAGTACTGCATGCACTATACGTTGGAATTAAACTAGCCTGCACTAGTTTAAAATTCAAAATTCATTTGCAATTGAAGTCTTGAAGTCCAACAAAGTTAATTTTATCTATAAATATGAATCTATTTGATTAGTAAACACTTCATTATCTACTTTCTATCTCTGGTATCAGAGCCTTGGTTGCTGCTCACGTCGATTTCGCCGTCGGATTCGCCGGAATCGGCCATCTGGAGCCTCGCCGCCGCCTCGCCGCCGTCTGCCGCCGCCGCCGAAGGTCCAGGAGGTGCTACCGCAGTTGGTCCAGGAGTTCCAGAGCCGTCCAGAAGTCTCCACCGGGTCCAGATCTGCTGCCATCGCCGGTCCAGGATCTGCCGCCAGTCCAGTCTGCTGCCGCGCTGCTGCCGCCAGTTCAGTCCGCTGCCGCCAAGCTCTACAGCAGCCCACGCTGCCTACGGTAAGTCGGGTAACCCAACCTCGGGCCCCGCTCAGGTAAATATGTGATAAACATCCTTGGTGTACCGGAGTGCCACCGGATTTTTTTTATTCCCCCGATCCCCCACTGCTGACCTGCGTGGTCTTGGATGCCGGCTGTGCCCGGCCCCAGGTACGTTTACTAATCCTTTGTGTGATTATTATTCGTAGTTCATTCATTTTAATTTCAAGTTTGAATTGCAATTACTTGGTTGTTTAAATTGTGATTTCTTGTTGGTTTGTGATTAATTTTTCGGTGAAGAATATTTTGTTTGGATACTCGTTGTCCAAAGTTGTGAATATTTCTTCTGGTTTAAATTTAATCACGTGTTGGATTTTTTTATTTTGATTTTTTCTGTTAATTGATTCGTGGATAAACTTTCCGGTTAAGAATATTTGTTTGGATACTTGTTGTCCGAAGTTGGGAATATTTCTGTCCGGATTACTTTTAAATCTAGTTTCTTTGCTTGTTGATTTAATTCTAGCCTATTTGTGCTTGTACGAAAGAACAAGGAGATTGTACCCCGAGCCTTGTGTTCATTGGTCTTCTCGGCTTGTTCGTGCTAGTTGTTTCGTACAGTACGAAAGAACAAGGAGATTGTACCCCGAGCTTTGTGTTCATTGGTGTTCTCGGCTTGTTCGTGCTAGTTGCTTCGTACCCAGTGGCGGATCTTGCAATTACATGTTGGGTGTTCGAAATTACTTTACCATTAAGATGTTATCTAATAGTACAATATATAAATTATTACATCAATTCTATACATGTATTTTTACACTTAATTTTCAAAATTTTGGGTGTTCACATGAACACCCCTGAATAAAGAAGGTCCGCCACTGTTCGTACCGGTTGATAGCTTGATAATTTTTTTATTTACTCTCTTGCGTGTTGTGCTTGCTTTCCGGTTAATATGGTTGTCAATCAATATGGCATGCTTCCATTTAACGGAAAGACAGATTTTGATATCTGGAAACAGAAAATCAAATGCGTGTTGATCCAACAGAAAGTCTATAGAGCAGTGACTGGTCTCTATTTAGACTCTGAGGATGCTGCAAAGCACATTGAGAGGATGAGAGTGTCACGGACCGTTGGTCGTGACCGTGTTAGGCTCAATGAATGGGAAGGACCGACTGGCTAGCTGGACGGGTGAGGCATGGGGGAGGCAATAGCGTCAAGGGGAGTTCTGCCTTAGACGCTAAGGTCTGACCGAGTTGGGCATGTAGGGCTTGACTATGAAGGAGACGGAGGCGGTTCTGAAGGCACAATTGGTCGGGAGCTATTGTCGTTCCCCTGATGAGCCCAAGGCAGGGCGAATCCAGTCCGGTTCCGTATGAGAGCGAGGCTTGTCTGCGGGGATGAGAGGGACCCCGGGACGCCGCACGGGCACTGTGCGCTGCGCCAGACTCTATGCTCGTGACAAATGGTATCAGAGCGGATCGTGCTTATATTGTCGCGTGTTGTGGTGGGGTCCTCGTGAGGGACGAGGACTATGCGAGCATGGTGGCTCTAGGGCTGGTACGTGCTGATGACGCCTCCACTCCTGATGGTCCGCAGGGGCGGATGGGTTCCTGAGAGGATAAGGACTCGAGTGGCCACCAGCGCAGCCGGGCTGCTTGAGAGAGAGGCGGCCCTGGCGATGCGGCGCGTTGACAATATTAAGCATGGCGGTCCTTGGGCAGAGTCATCTCCCCTAGCACGAGGGCGTACTAGAGTTTGGGTGGGGGAGAGTGTCACGGACCGTTGGTCGTGACCATGTTAGGCTCAATGAATGGGAAGGACCGCACTGGCTAGCTGGACGGGCGAGGCATGGGGGAGGCAAGTAGCGTCAAGGGGAGTTCTACCTTAGACGCGTCAGGAGTGGAGCCGTCATCAGCACGTACCAGCCCTAGAGCCACCATGCTCGCATAGTCCTCGTCCCTCACGAGGACCCCACCACAACACGCGACAATATAAGCACGACCCGCTCTGATACCATTTGTCACGGGCATAGAGTCTGGCGCAGCGCACAACGCCCGTGCGGCGTCCCGGGGTCCCTCTCATCCCCGCAGACAAGCCTCGCTCTCATACGGAACCGGACTGGTTTCGCCCTGCCTTGGGCTCATCAGGGGAACGGCAATAGCTCCCGACCAGTTGTGCCTTCAGAACCGCCTCTGTCTCCTTCATAGTCAAGCCCTACATGCCCAACTCGGCCAGATCTTAGCGTCTAAGGCAGAACTCCCCTTGACGCTATTGCCTCCCCCATGCCTCGCCCGTCCAGCTAGCCAGTCGGTCCTTCCCATTCATTGAGCCTAACACGGTCACGACCAACGGTCCGTGACACTCTTCTTTCGTACAAGCACAGATAAAATTTTTATTTACTCAACAGACAGATAAATGATTAATTATAACCTCTAGGGCTGGCCAAAAACACTTTTTCTCACCCAGATTTCCGTCTGTGCTCCTCCTGTGGGGCTTTACCGAAATTGGCCGAATTGGACCTTGAGGCTGACGCCCCTTTCCCCTTAGTGATTCTAGTGGTGCTAATTCATCCTTTGTGGGTGAAATTGACGAGACCTGAGCTGGATTCAAGTTCCTACAATCTCACTTTCATTTAGCATATTCAGACATGGATACAAATAATAGTGGTTTTTTAAGAATTTCCTAAACTCAATGGGAAATTCTGACCAGTCCTCTTATTCACAAAATTCTCCAAATGGAGCTCTATCTTCGTCATTGCCTCAAATGCCTCAACATTTTCCGAATTTTCCATTTCCTTATCCACCTAATTTTCCAAATTTTTATGTTTCTGGAAAATTTTGAATCGGATCCAATAATATATTCACACCTCCATATTGTTATGTCCTGGGAGGAGAATATTGGTCTAGAAATGGAACTCCTAATATGCCTCATAGTCACATATCTATCCAAGAGACTCATGTTCCTCGCCGTGAATCAAAGAAGAATGTTGATACTTGTACGTCGTGGCAAGAGGTAGAAACACAACCTTCTATCCAAGAGACTCAATTTCCGCCATTCTCCACACAAACAAGGACAAATAATATTGGTCTCAACGAGAATATGGATGGGGGGAATGAAACCAATGTTGATAGTTCAAAGAAAAAGCAATCATATGTGAAGTGGGAAGTGGGTGAAGAGGTTGTTCTTGCAAAGGCATGGGAGATGATTAGTGAAGATCCATCTATTGGAAACAATCAATCTAGAAATGTATTTTGGGACCGTGTTCGAATTTACTACAATGAAAATCGACCGGCGGGAACTACGGAGAGAAGCACATTTCAAGTAAAAAAATCACCACAATATAATGTTGAAGGAAACAAACAAGTTTGGAGCTAAGTTCAACAATGAGTGGAACCAAAGGAAAAGTGGGGAAAGTGATGATGATATATATGCACGCGCTAATAGCTTCTTCCAAGTATTGGATGCTAACGAGCTTCATGAGCGGTGATTTTTCCAGTCATAGTCTTGGTCTCTGCGAGCGATGATTTTTCCATGAAAGGAGTTGTGGGCGAAGAAGGGTGAGATGAGCTGTGGACAGAGAAGGGCGAGACGAGTTGTAAGCGGAGATCACAGGGAGAGACGAGCTGTTGGCGGAGAAGGGTGAGGGACTACTTCAAGGCCTGGGCAGGGATGGAATGGCCAAGTCGGTGAAGAACCGTAACTGACAACGGAGGCTTGAGCTGTTAACGACAGGTTAAACGGAAATATAAATGGGTGGCCAAATATAGTTCAAATAAGTTGATTATGTGTTAATTTGGTCTACTTAAAAGTTTAGTGTCTAATCCGAACATCATAAATAACCTTAGTGTCATTTTGAGCCTTCTCCCTTTTATCAATGAAACCAACAAACATTGCCAACTTAAAGAACGAAACATTAAAATTAAATAACAACGAAAAATCAATAACAAAAAAGAAAATGAAAAAAGAAATGTTAAATGTAAGGATGTTTTTAATTGGACTGAAATTTGGCGAATTGGTCTGGTCTGCTTAACTCTAGTCTGGTCAGGTCTAAATTGATATGGTAAATGTCTGGTTTTTATGTATTTTATAATTTAGTGTCGTATAGTCTGATCTATTTAAGTCTTACCTATTATGTTTTAGTCTATTTTGATCTAGTTTGGTCTGGTTGTCTGTAATATTAGTTCAATCCGCCAGACAAGTTGATCGAGCATTAACCACTTCAAAAGTTTATATTGTATTCGCATATCGGATATAATGTTTTGGTATATATTCTAGGATACCTGTATTGTATATTCTCGATCCATGTCTAAAATTCATTAAAAGTTCCCATATTGTTTAGTACTCCGTAATTATTTTCAAAATCGGATACACGTATCACACACACACACATATAACTTGGATCAAATAAAAAAAGTTTTTTGACGTGTAAAATAAGAATTAATCTCAACCGTCCAAAATCTCATGCACAATAAGCTTTATACTACGTATGTTGTACTCTCGTATAAGTCTTCTCATTTGAACTCAACTTGTGTGTGTGTGTGTGTGTAATAATGATCCTGTTAGGTAGTCCTGATGGGAGGCCCCGTCCGAAATTGTCTGTTTGAGGGCCTTACCGGTGGAATTTTTTGATGCAATTGTTTGAACATGTTTTTAATCAAGCTAGTCTAGTTTATGTCCACAAAATATGACTGTCATGTTTTTATTCCCTAAATATGAGTAATTAATGTCATGCTTAAAAATTACGTTTAAAGTCCATTATCGCCAAAACATGACATTAATTAATAATTACTTCTTTTTTTGAAAGAAGAAGACTTATTTATTATTAATAATGAGAGTAACAAGAGACAAAACAATACAATGGCTCAAGGCTACACTGGGGTGAGACATATAATTGACTAGCCTCTGAGGACCTATCAAATTCGTTAACCCCGCATCATGGTGGCTAATCTAACAGCATCGCTAAACTTGTTACTAAAATGGGAGGTAACTAAACAAGAATTCTTGAAATAAAAGTAAGAAAATAATTCAAGCATCTCGGTTTTACTAGCCACCAGGAAGAGAGAATAGGTTTGACCAGCCATGTCCAAAGGAATCATCTCGTTTACGGGACATGTTTGTACTTTAGGCTGTGCTGTTCTGGGAGTACCGCCTCATTGCCGTTTTTTATAATCCCTTAACATCAACCTCTTTCATTGACATTCTTTCATAATTCGGATTTAAACTCTCCACTAATGGCCAACA